AAAAAAGGGAAAGAAAAGGGAACCCTTGTGCACTGTTGGTGGGATTGTAAATTAGTGTACCACTATGGAAAATAGTATGGTGATTCCTCAAAAAATTAAATACATAACTACCATATGCCCCGGCAGGTCCATTTCTGTTTCTTTATATGAAGAAATCCAAACACTAATTCAAAAAGATATATGCACCCCTCTGTTCATAGCAGCATTATTTACAATAGCCAAGATATGGAAGTAACCTAAATGTCCGTTGATAGATGAATGAAAAAAGAAGAGATGATACAGACCTGGCTGGCTCAGCTGGTTGGAGCCTCATCCTATACACCAAAAGGTTGTAAGTTTGTTTCTCAGTTAGGACACATACCTAGGTTGTCAGTTCAATCCCTGGGTCTGGGCACATACAGGTGGCAACCAATTGATATTTCTCTTTCACATCAATGTTTCTCTGTCACATTGATGTTTCTTTCTCTCTCTCTCCTCCTTCCTCTCTCTCCCAAAATCAATAAAAAAAAATACATATCTCTGGGTGAGGATTAAAAAAATATGTGGTATATATATATATATATACCATGGAATATTACTCAGCCATAAAAAGAATGAAATATTGCCACTTGAAATAACATAGATGGACCTAGAGGATATTATGTTAATGCTAAGTAAAATAAGTAGACAGAGAAAGACAAATACCATATGATTTCACTTATATTTGAAATCTAAAAAACAAAATAAATGAGCAAACAAAACAGAAACAAACTCATAGATATAGAGAAAAAAATGATGGCTTCCAGGTGGAAGGGGTGTTGGGAGAATTGGTATAAAAGGTGAAGGGATTAAGAAACACAAATTGTCAGTTATAAAAACAATCACAGGGATTTAAAGTATAGCATAGGTATTCAGAGAGAAGCCAGCACTGCGTCTGTGCTGAAGTGCCTGCCTACACTGTTTCTGCCATCTGATCAGACCTTAAAAAGGAGTTCCTGGAATCTAGTACTGAGGTTTTCCCCCATCCAATCTGTGTTGTACAGCACCCACCAAACAGAGCAGCTCCATTCTGACCAATCAGGAAAGTGCCTTTTGGACCAATCCAACTGCGAAGAGTTGGGATTCTTATTTGCGTGAGGACAGACCAATCAGGGACCAGGAGTGAGAAGTTCTGCCTGTATAAGTCAGCTCCTCTCTGGCTTGAGGAGCACAGGGAAGACTTAAGACTAAAGACTGCATTTCCCTGGCTGAGCTGAAACATGAAAGATGTCTCACTGGAGCAGACTGGAGCAGACCAGCGCAGGCCAAAGCAAACTGGCATAGAACGAAGCAGACCAAAGCAGACCATCTGGGAGCTGAGCAGGGCTGTCTCGCCAGAGAGGGGACTGGTTCCAGGGCCACCTGGCCCCAGGGCTGCCTCGCAGCTGTGCTGTTTTCACAGACATGCTGTATCACAACTGAACTGTTTTATACTGAATAAAGATTACTCCTTCACTGCATCTCAAACTGGAGATTCTCGTAGGTGCTGAATTGGTGCTAATGACCATTGGTTGCCAATACTTATTTGCATGTATGGACTGTTTCAGACTAGACATTGAGAGAAAACTAGCAAATGGGGGTTTTAATACAAAATCCCATGTAATAATAATAATAAATAATAATAATAAATAATAATAATAATGTGCAGCATAGAAAATATAGTAAAAAATGTGCCCTGGCTGGGTGGCTCAGTTGATTGGACCATTACCCCATACACTAAAAGGTTGTAGGTTAGGCTCCCAATCAGGACACAAACCCAGGTTGTGGGTTTGGTGCCTGGTCAGGATATGCACGGGAGGCAACCAATCAATGTTTCTCTCTCACACTGATGTTTCTCTCTCTCTTTCTCAAATAAGTAAAAACATATCCTTGGGTGAGAATTTAAAAATTAAAAAAAAATTGTAATAACTATATATGGTGTCAGATGGGTACTAGACTTATTGGGTTGATGGCTTTGTAAGGTATATAAATGTCTGATCACTATGTTGTACACCTGAAACTAATATAATAGTGTATGTCAACTGTAATTGAAAGATAAAAAAATAATTATTGGTGTGTTATTACTTAACTATTGCCATTTTGTTTTCAGACTTTTTTTGCAGTTACCTTATTTTCTTTCTCTCTTGCTGTCTTCCTTTGTGATTTGACGCCTTTTTTTTTGGCAGTGTTATGTTTTGATTCCTTCCTCTTTTTATCTTTTGCATATCTGCTGTAGGTGTTTTTCTTTGTGATTAGTATAAGGCTTACATGAAACATTTTATAAGTACAGCAATCTGATATGAGCTGATACCAACTTCACTTCAACGGCACACAAGCACCCCACACTTTTACTTTCTCTCCTCCCACAGCTCCTGGTGTCTGTAAGGCAGCCAGCAGGATCTGTGGCCCGTTGGCAAGGTTGGTGTGCAGGTACCACAGACTGCCTCCGGCCATGCCAATCCCTCAGTTCTGGGGACGGTGAGACAGAAGTGGCTTCCCGGGCAGCATCCCTCAAGGCTGGAGCAGTTGGATGCTCACTCACGCTCACGTTTCCTTGTGGGAAAGTTTCTGAGCTTGGGGAAGTCCTTGTTGGCACTGAGCTGTGCTGCCTGGGGGGAGGGGTGATGCAGTAAAGTGCAACTGCTCTTCTCTTCAATGCATCTATTGCCTGATTTTTCCCTCCGTCGAGGTACTGGAATCTGTCAGCTGGATTCCCAGGTTCCCATTAAGCTCATCCCATCTGTGGGTAGTTTGAGAGCTGGAACCTCCTAATTCACCACTTTGCTGACAGTCACTCCTGTTTTTTATGTTTTAATCTTTGACCCACCTAGATTTTATTTTGGTTTAGGAGATGAAATAAGGATCCACGTTCATAGCTGTATTTCAGGCGGTTAGCTATGTGTGTGAACACTGTTAGTCAATAGTCCCTCTTTTCCCAGACTAAGATGCCACGCTTTATTCCTCTTTCTCTGTGCTTCCTATTCTTTTCACTTCTCTGTCTTCCTAATCATGTGCCAGCACCTTTTAATTCCTGTGGTTTTATAATATATTTTAATATCTAGAGGGACTCATTTTGTAAACTTTAAATTATTTTCAGGGCAGAATATGCGAAAGGAACATAAATGAACTTCAAGAAGAGTTTGAAGCTATGGAGACACAGGTAGCTCTCGTTGGGTGGTCCGGGTGGGGAGGGGGGGCTTCGTTCCTGTGACCACCTCTCAGCCTCAGCACACCACCTTGAACTGGTTGACTGGTATTTTGTTGCTGACATTGTTCCTGGCTGCTGACGCTCATCAGTACACAGATGGATCGGCTGCCCAGACAGGGGCAGGGACAGGGACTCCAGGCCTTCTCTTCTGAGCCACCACAGCCTTTCCTGTGTGGTCCCATCAGCAGGGACCCTGTGAGGCCCTCCAAGGAGGCTTTTATATAAACCTCAGATGAATTGCCTGGGCCAGGGATGAACAGCAACTGAAGTACGTGCCCTTAGCGGGAACTGAACCTGGGACTCTCTGGTCCATGGGTCCACTCTCTAACCACTGAGCCAATCTGGCCAGGGCGACACAGGATGTCCTTAAACTGACAAATGCGAGATTGTTCTATACGTCCTAAGCTTACATTTTTGGTTGTTGTTAATCCTTACTTAAGGATATTTGTTCCATTGATTATTTTTTAGAGAGAGCAGAAGGTAGGGAGGGATGGGGGTAGAGAGAGAAACATCGATGTGAGAGAGACACATCGACTGGTTGCCTCCAGCATATGCCCTGACTGGGGCCGGGGACTGACCCTGCAACCCAGGTACGTGCCCTTGACCAGGAATTGAACCCAGGACCCTTTGGTCCACAAGCTGATGCTCTAATCACTGAGCCACACCATCCAGGGCAACTTACATATTATTTGTTCCATCTAGGGCACCTTTGGTGTCTAGGATATAAACCCACACAGCTTCTTCCTCATGTCACGATGGCAGTGTGGCCTCTTTCCTGTTTCCTCCAATGGCTGCTTGGGGTGCCACCCTGCATCCTGACCTCTCCACTGTCTACTCATTGGTTACTTTCTTCTGGGTCTCTCTTTCTGACAAAGGGAATCTAATTGGCTCGATCTGACCTCTAGATGGGTCCTTTGGGTTAAGTGTCCATCATCGGTGGCACACGTGGCCACACGCACTGGGCACGTGGCTGTGGGTGAGCCAGACACTGCAAGCTCTGGTACAAGTCGGGGTTTGAATGCTATCGCTCTCTCATGCCCGTGTTTAACCAGAGCATGCGCATTATCGTTAAAGGCATCAATGAAATCTACTATTAAATAAAAACACGCCTTGCTATTAAAGGAGCTGGGCATCCGGTCACTGAAAATACTATTTGTGCAGACTGAGATTAGAACAAAATGGACACCTACGTTTATTTAGGAGTGATGCTCTAAGCTTTGACAGGTTTCAGCTTCTGTGTAATCTCACTTTGGCCCTGTGTTCAGGCTTGATTAAAACATTTCTTTCCAACCTTGAATGAATCCTCATCTTGGATTTAAATGCGTCACAAGACCCTCCCATGGGTTCTGGGTAGATGTCAAAAGCCCAAGCAACTTTCAGTAGGTCTTAGAAGGTACCTGACATTTGTTTTTTGCAGTAGGTTTTTCAAACATTGTTAGCCACAAAGGACAATGGGTCTGGCATAGCGATGGCGCCGGGGGTACAGAAAGGAGCAAGCCGTGGTCTTCCAGCCTAGGGTTCCGTCGGTGGGTGGGAAGGCCCCATCTTAGCCCAGATGCGTGATGCCCGGAGAACTGTATCTTGCTGTGGCCGTCTGGCTGGGGCTCCGGGACCCTACGCCAGCACACTCAGCGTGTGGAGCTGCTGCCCGCCCTGCCCAGGCACTCGTCTCCTCCTCACCAGGGAGCACCTGGCACTGGGCACGGTGGCTCCCAGGCCAGCAGCAGGCTTAGAGGCTTGGGGAGGAAGAGGAGGCGAGCCCCTGTCTCCAAAGGGGAACACTGGTCTCTCCTAGGACGCAAAGGGAATTCCCACTAAGACTCTCAGACACCTCCTGAAGGTCCAGCGGGTGCGGAGGAAGGGGAAGTTTTCTGAATTTCTGAATCTGAGGGAAAAGCTCCCCAAGAAAGTCCCCAGCAGAAAGGAGGAGGGACAGAGGAACCAGGCCCCAGACAGCAAGGCTGCAGGGAAGCTGGCAAGAGGGCTTGCTCAGGGACTGTGACCTGGAGGGTCTGGCTTTGTTTGCACATGAGGCGGGTGTCTCGAAAGGGTGAGGTGGTAGGGTCCTCACAGCTGGCTGAGTCCTGAAGTCCTCTGTGGGGGAAACAGAGTCTGGGGTGGGGTGGGCACCAGAGACCCTCCGGGAAGTAGAGGAGAGCCAACAAGAGCTTGCTGTGATGCAAGTGAGACTTCGCTCCCCCAGAGAGCAGCTCACGGGGTTTCTGGCTCTGCAGACCGGGCCTGTCAGTGCCGGTGGGAGGCCCAAGGCCGGGAGGTGGGGCAGAGGCAGGTGTCAGTCAAGTAACACCCTGCTCCGAAGTGGCCGGAGGGCCAGAGGCTGGGCCCGTCCTGCCTGCGGACAAATCCTCAGAGCTCAAACTGGTTCCCTGCCTGGGGTCACCGCTGATACTTTGCCCTGGGGGTCATGGCAAGGGAAGGCCAGGTGGTTCTTGAGGAAGGTTAAAGTAGATGGACAAGACCCTCCAGTCTCTGGCCTCAAGGTACTTCAGGAGCAAGGGAACTTGTGTTCCTAGGTTCGGGAGCCTCCCCAATTCTGGAGGATTCCCAGACCCACTTGGTTGCTGAAATTGGAGGTTCGGGGTGGGGTGGGGGGCTTCAGTGGGCATGGGTCTGCTCGTGCAGGGTGATACCTCGGCTCCTTTCCCTGTGTCTCCTCAGCCATGACATATGCAGCCAGAGGGAGGTCACGTCTGTTACCGCCTTGTGTTCAGTCAGACCCCACCTGAGCTCTTCACGCAGAGTTTTCCAGAGTGTAGCCCACATATCTATAAGAATAGAGAGATCATTTTAGTTGGTACATGGATCAATACTTTTAATTTTTTTTTTTTTTATCCTCACCCGAGGACATTTTCCCATTTTTTGTTCAGATAGAGCGGGAGGGAGAGAGAGGAAGAGAGAGAGAGAGAGAAACACCGACGTGAAGGGACACATCGAGTGGCTGCCACCCGCACGACCAACCAGGGCCGGGGACAAACCGCAACCGAGGTACGTGCCCTTAGCGGGAACCGAACCCGGGTCTCTCTGTACCGCAGGCCGATGCTCCAACCGCTGAACCAAACTGGCCAGGGCAATACTTTTAAAATTTAATCTCCATTTTTATTTATGTGCTTTAGAAAAATATTACTAACAACCATCCATAAGCTCATGGAAATTTACTTGGACACGTATACAATGGGTGTTTTATGTTTAAACGTGGTGTCATTCATTGTATGTTGTACGTAAAAATGTCCAATAGATAACAGAACAGTTGGTATGAGAATATGGTAAAATTGTGTCAAAATATGGGATGACCGACAACCTTGAACAGGCAGCAGTGGGGACAGTGGAACCACTTTCCAAACCCAGGCCCTGGTGTGGGGGAGGGTCAGAGGAAAAGCCAGTATTTCTTACTCTCTCCCAGGTGAAACATGGTCCAGGGGATGTTGCAGCCACTCTTCTTGGCTAATTCTGTGGGTAGGAGAGGGTCAGAGGAGTCGGGGGACACTGAGAGGGTGTCCCTCCTGAGCTTGGCTGACTAGGGGGCTAGAGCAGGAATCCCCCCACACCACCCACAAGGTAAGGCATCGTATAACTACACACATCATTACAGATGTCGAAACTAAGCCTCTGAGACCTTCAGTTACTTGTTCAAGGTCACAGAACTAGTATCATGGAAAGTTGATTCTGAAGTGTTGTTTTTGAAGTGAATGTGCTGGAGTTATTGTTTGTTTGTATTTTTATTTGTGAAATAATTTTTTCCCAGAAAGCACTGCCTTTAGCCATTTTCCCAGTATGAAGAATATCTGCACAGCCTCTTCTGCTGCTTGGGCTCGTTAGCACCAGTTGTGGGGCTTGTGGTCACCCGGTTAATAATCACCGTGGTTACCACTAGATTCAACTACAATGAGCATCTTGACAAATATAGTTTCCTGTAATACACAGTCGAACAAACTTGAGCTTTTGTAACAAAGGAATGGTGAAAAGTGTGGCTTCCCAGCTAATGTTGAGATGGAGGATGAGTCCGGAAGAGTGAAGGTGCACCTTCGCAGCAGGCTCCCCGAGCCCCCCCCCCCCCCGCCCCCCGCCGTGCTCTCTGCGCCACAGCAACCTGTTTAATTCTACAGGAAAGTCTTTTGCCCTTTTCAGCAAAGAGACTTAGACTGAGATTCAGCTTGTTGATTTAAAGGGCATCACAGAGCCCTGGCTGGTTTTCTCAGTGGTTAGAGCTTCGGCCTGTGGACTAAAGGGTCCAGGGTTTGATTACTGGTCAAGGGCATGTACCTGGGCTGCAGGATTGATTCCAGGCCCTGGGAAGGGGTCATGCAGGAGGCAACCAATCAATGTGTCTCTCTCACATTGATGTTTTGCTCTCTTTCTCTTCCTTTCTCCCTCCCTTCTTCTCTATCTAAAACTCAATGGAAAGATATTCTTGGGTGAGGATAAAAATAAATAAATAAATAAATAAACAAACAAATAAATAAATAAATAAAGTTAAGCTAAGTGTTATAGTTAACTGGAATAAATGCATCCATTAAACTTCTCACTATCTAACAGGTTACAATGACTAACTGAGGATTTTTCTTCTCAAAATAACTAAGTCAGCTCCCATTCTATCAAGATTTTCTTATAAAACTATTAGTGGAAAGGCCCGTGGCTTCTGGCTTCAGTTGCATTTTCGAGCCCAGGCAGTGTTAAAGGACACGGACCTTCAGTGTGTCTTTCCGAAGTTGGTGGGTGGCTGCTCTGGGATGTGAGCCCAGGTCTGTGCAATCTGCAAGTCCGTGCTCTGATGGGTTCTGCAGAACTCTGTCTCGTCCACAGCATATTCCAAGCCTGCCAGCCCGTCAGAATCCACCAGAACTGGGTCTTTGGAGAAGTGCTGACGGCCTGCCAGGTGGGTGAAAGGGTGGAAACGTAGGAACTGGGAGTAGGGGTCCTCAGGTCCGGTTCAGGCTCTGTCTCTTGCTACTTACCTGCTTGTGCTTGTGTGAAGGGTTTCAGTTCCTTTGTTGTAAAATGAGGTCTCTGGACAAGACAGTGAATGAGAAGTGAGGAACAGTGCCTGGTAATAGCAGGCCCTTCACGATTTCCCGAATGAATGAATGAGTGAGCCAAGGGCTCAGAGATCTGCTCAGGCCCTCAGACATTTGAATCCTAGAAAGCTAAGCTTCCTCCCGACTTCTTGGTCACTCCTGTGGTCTGGACCTGCACCTTGTTTACCCCGTCACCAGAAGTTCATAGATCACGTATGTCACTGCTTTGCTCCCATCCTGCATGAAGTTTGCAGAGGGCAGGTCTGGCCTGCAGCCCTCCTGTGCTGATTTAGATTTATATTTCTTCTTGTCTCAGTGACCATGTTGAAGGAGGATGTGTCTGCATGTTAGTCTTGCCGTTCATGTGCCAACTGAGCAGAGAGGTTAAGTGGAAGACAGTTTCCTAAGCCTCCACGCCCAGCCATGTTGTTGGGCGCACAGTTACGTTTCAGGATGGTCAAAGCCTCTTTTCTGCGGCACACGCTGGCCTGGGCCTTTGCTCTCTCTTTTCTCTCGCCCTTCCGTCTTCCCTTTGACCCTTCTCCACACTTCCTCTATCTGCACTGGAGCCCGGACCTGACACAAGGCCATGACATTCATTTTCTGGGATTTTCCCTCTGATTGCCTTCCAGAAACACCGATGCAGGTGACAGGCAAAAAGGGCAGGAAGCAGCCGGAAGATCCAAAGAAACCTGCTGAAGGGGTCAATCTGTTCAGGCCCTATGCCAGGCCATGGCAGGCTGCCCTGAGAGAGAGGAACTTCCGGTAGGGTGGAGGACTCTTGGAGGTTGCCCTGCAATTCCCCAAATAACTAGCTCCAAGTTTTGGGGCCTTGGGGTGGGGCCTTCGGGAGGGTCCAGCGAGTGTCAGCCTTGGCCCTAGCAGGATGTTGAATCCGACCTCACTGTGGAGAGAGGGCCACTTTCAAATGCTTGTTGTGTTCATGTGAATCATAAAAAACTTTTTGGTTTATTATACAAGCAACTACTCAGTATGCTATTTCTCCCCTTTCCAGGCTCTGATGGAGCCAGACCGGCTCCGTGTCTGTCTTCCTGCAGTCCCTGCTGTCTTCTGCGACTGGTTCAGCCCACTGCAAACCACCCCCCCTCCGCTCTCTGAGGACCCCCACACAAGGCTGCGTGCAGAGTAGACTTCTTAAGAGGCACGGTGTTGGAGTGGCGTCACGGAACATCAGAGTGGGCGACAACATGCAGGAGTATTTAGATACCTTTGTTCTAAATAGTCAAGGCCATTCCTCATCACGCAGAACGTCTTGATGGCCTTGTCTCTCTCAGGCTTTAGCCGCCATCAGACTTAGAGCTGAAATGCTCAGCCTCCTCCACCGTCACCAGACCCTCTCCACTGCCCCTACTCCCACATACCATATGTCACTTTCTTAGGGAGAAACATCGAGAGCGCCTGTTAATTTACACTCCTTTCTTTTCTTTCTCAATCAGAAAAGGTGCATCCTGGGATGACCAATGCTGTTGCCCTAAAATTCAGAAGTTGTGGGCAATCACTTTTTGGTTTTTGATAGCATACATCCTCCCCCTCCACCCACCCCAGATTTTAACTATATGATGTGTTTGGTGTATTACGTAGTTCACGTGTGATTGTGAGTAACAAGTCCAAATGATAAAAAAGATACTGCTTCCTTTCCCCAAAGCAGGTTGAGGCCCTGGGCCCTGGGTGGTTTCTGACTAGTCTTATATTCCAGGAGAAAACACAGGGGATGCTTATATCCAAGGAGCTGGCCTGGGCCTTGGTTCGGCAGGGTGCCTGAGAGCTCCGGAGGGGTGACTGTGGTCCCGGAGTAGCTCTCCCATTGGCCGCAGCCTGGACCCTGCCCAGGAGGAAGGATTCCTGGTGCTCTGGAGCTCCCGTCATGCTCTTTCTGTCCAAGTGTTTACCAGGCCCTAGAGAAGCAGTCTGGGAGGAGGTGGGGTGGGCACTTTTGCCTCTGGTGCAT